TATGGATGTCCCTCAGGAAGGAATAGATGTGACTGAACTCGGATATTGTATATGTATAATTGTCGTCTTTCAATATAACTTTCGGTAGTTTCCGATGTCTCTCATTGCCCTTAGGAAGTGCATCGACCGTAATAAATTTAGTGTTGATAGGATGTTTACGCAACTCGCCAGCTATAGCCGATTGTTCATTGTGTTAAATGATATTTGATTCGATATTGGTAATTTCTTTTGTATGTACATATATATATATATATATATATATATATATATATATATATATATATATATATATATATATATATATATTTTTGATGAATAGCGAGGCCACACAGTTTGCCAGATCTTGCACTATTAAAAGGCACGTAACAGCTCTTTTGTAAAAAAAGATTGGCTTTAAACCAGAGACTAGTAATGGAAAAAATGCATTAACTTATCTCGTACCTACCGACTGGCCATATAAAGTGTAATTTACTTAAGATATACCTATGTGTAAAAAATTGCTGTCTTTAAAAATATGTGAGAGTTACAGTTGAAATATAACGATGTTTCTAAGTACCATAGATTTTGATATAATATTAAAAACCTTCAAATACCACACTGGAAATTCTCCTCCAATAAAAATATTTATAAATATTATATAGAAACAATCAATAAGAAAAAAATAATTCAAACCCTCAATGTGTGAATTTGTATCTAACTGGTCAACACATGTATACAATTTTATCTTCTAAATGTTTTTGTATGCCTATTTGATTCTCACGATTGGCCTATTATTATAATAGAAAATAACCAAGAATTAATAAGCCTAGATTACAGCCTAGATGTCTTATATTATAATTGCATACACACGTTCCTTACTCGATATTATTGTGGTTAGGCATTGCAACGTGCCCGTTCTGTGATTCACTGATGACATATTCGTGAATCATTAACTCTCCCTAGCAGCTCCTTATAGGAAGTATTATTTTCGTCATAGTCTCCCAGGATGGAGAATTTTCGTCAGTGACACTGACAACTGACTGTCATTAAGGTGATTTGCGTTCCAGTACCGTCTTGATCGTCTTTATTTATAGCCATATCCGAATCTTGGCGGGGGCAGATTTCAAAGAATTTGTAACCTAAATTTAAAATTTATTTTTTCCTTTATCAGTCTTGACGCAAATGATTCTAAATTCTAATCTATACAGTTTTAGAAGTCTTGTTTAAGTTTCTATAATTTCTTCTATAGTTCTTGATTAATTTTGTGTTTACCAGAGATAGATTTTGTACAAAAGTTGTCTGCATACTTGTAGCAGAAATTGCTTCTGCAACACTCGTGTTTCTGCTAAGCAGCTGTGGTGATATGACTGTTTTTGTTTATAGGTTAGTATTACAGGGTATAGAGGTATAATACCTTAGTCTAGGGGGGGGGGGAGCGATTGTTACCCCCTGGAAACCATTGTGTTGAAATACAGGTGTATTCACAGGATGGGCTAACTGATCTGCCTTTCCGTCCTCACCTATCATCCCTTACTGGTGTCCCGCCAGTATATACCGTTAGCGCAGGCGGGATTACCATTTCATTATCATCCATTAAAAATCCTCAAAAATGGAGGTACCATGAAGTCATAGACGATTATTCTGCAATATCTATTTCGCTGTTTATCTTTATAGGTGACTTCTATAACTTTCAATCCAGTAGATCATCAGTTTTTGTCATTCCAAGTTGCAAAAAAGCTAAATTGCTTCTATGTTAAAATGACCATATGTGAGAATGTTCTGTCTATTTTCCTATGTTATCATGACTTTAGTTAAATAATGTGTTGAGTATATCTTGCAAACGTTATCTTGCACAAATGATGCCTACGGTTTGTTTACGTTTCTAGATAGAAAAAATGATAACAGATACCACTCCTTGTTCATTTAATGTTGTCAGTAATGATGAAATGTTTACGTTGATAGAAGGATTTGAACTATTTAATTAGGTTTCATTTATTACATAATAATATACTAATATATAATGACATAGAATTGTCTCCTCAGCAATTTTTAATATATAATGGCTTAGTTTAAACTTTTAAACTAATGTTATAAAGAGGATTTATTTAAAGAATAAATTTAAAAATACTTAATAGTTTTAAAAATTCTTTTATCTATAGAAAACTATATTGTCATCGGGGGTAACAAGGGCTGTACTGCTTGCAAAATAATCCTAAAATGCATAACCTTACATTTGGAATTCAAAAATTTTTTAAATGTAAACTTTTTCAATATCTTATATTAGCTAGTATTTTAGCTTTTAAATTAATCTACGATCTCTCGTCTAATTGTATCTCCAATTTAGTGTTACCTAATTTATCTCGTTGAAGGTATTGAGTTCTCGCTTATCGTTTGTAAATAGAAATTTCATAAAGCTCACCTCTTCACGTTTGATTTTTTGCTAATAATTGTACAATATCTTTATAGACGCTTAATTTTCGAAACAATCACGATGACCTGTCAGCCGGGCTGAGATGATGTGGCTGACATGCACGATAAGCGTTTACCTCGTGAGATGCGACTAAAACAGCACAAGCTGATTCTCACGTCGTGTTAATTCGTGTCATGAAACATTAGGTTATTTTCAAGTCAAATCACATTTTTTTCTGAAAGTGAGTCACATGTGTCGGGTGACCGTTCATTCTGATGTTAGAAGATATTTTATTACACAATTTTATAAGTTTGAAAATATATTCAATTCAAATTAATAGCGTCTCACTTGATTGGAACTGGTTATTATTGTCTATAGAAAAATCAAACGCATTTTATACTCAGATGTGTAATTAATTCTTAATTACTCTGTAATCTTTTGGACCAAATTTAGGTATTTATGTAAGCTTTATACATCAAAGATTGTATAATACCATTGCTGACTCTTGCATCTAAATTTAATAAATAAAAAGTTGGATATTTCCCTTCATTTTTAAAATTTATTTTATTGTCTACCTCCCCCCCCCCCCCCTCCATCCCATTAGCGATTTGTGTTTTCAGAGCATACAAGTATTAGATTCAGAAGAGGTTTAAATAATAAAAGTGTGTACTGTGATAAAATAAAATGAAAATGACGATATCACATCGCTTGAGTGATAACTATTTTTTTATGGAGATCGTTGACCGATATCCTCTCCATTATATATTTAGAATAATAATAGTGTATGTTGATTTTGTTTTACATTTAATCTGTTTAGACTTGTACTAATTATAGAAGAAATCAAATTATGATACAGCATCGGATTATTCATAGTTTAATTTCGACATTATTTATAGAGATATTTGCAGTCACTATTGAAATTTCATTGGAAATATATGTACGTATATAAAAAATATATAAACGAATACATAGTGATTGGATCGTTTAAAAAACGAAAATTATGTTGCTCAAAAAAGGTTTTCTTTTTTTGCGGTTATACCAATATTTACAAAAAAAATGGTTACACTAGCGACACGGCACGTGCTGCGCGGGCGCATATGGTTTAATATCGCGCTTACAACTCGCGTGCGTAAAAAACTATTTATGGATATGTTGCGGACTAGTATCGAGAAAATGTGTTTGATATAAATTATTGTATCGTTTAATGTAATCATTGTCATCTATATTTTATTTATTTACTTATAGGTATCCTAGGTAGAGTTTAAATTATTATATTGCTTATATATTTAGTGTATAATTTTTCAAAATAAATAACAAAGTTTTGTGTGTGGTGAAGGTGAGTAATTAATATGTCACCATTCTTAGTATCGTAACAGATGTCTAGGGAAATACAACAAGCAACATTTAAAAACATTAGGTACTTTCATAATAAAACAGTATACCAAGCCGGCTGTCCATCATGATAATGATATAAGCTAGCACTAACACCAGTGAGGGGATAATAGGTGAGGATGAAAAGGGAATTTATTGAATTCATTTGTTACAAAAAATGTGATAAATGAAGAACCGCTCGACCGATTTTGTGCAAACTTTACACAAACCATCTGCTAAATAGTCCGAAAAAAGCCTAAACATTTGATTTGGATAGGTGAGCCCATTCTTGAGTTATAAAATTACAACGAAAAGTGGCATTAATTTTTATATATATAGATATAATATAGTATACTATATAGGATAGTAATTACTGTATATAGCGTAATGTGATTCTTGATCACAATACGTAATCGATATAAATATAAAGTCATTGTATTTAAAACTCGCTCCTCTAAAAAATGGCGCCGTCGAACTAGACCCAATCTTAGATCCTAGTCTCAGTGCTGCGCTCGTGTTTCTTATCATTAATCATTGTGTAATTTTTTTATCTGTCCTCAGCTTAAGCACATGCACCTGTCTATGTTAATCAATTGTAAGGAATACTTTGTTACGCGTATGATTAATCATGGTCTTACCAATCTGATTTCTGAAGCTGTTCTGTTTGATATTCAATAGTAATATTAATTAAATTTATTATTTCAAACAGTTTTTAGATATATCTCGGATTGCACAAGTTTTTCAGTTTATTTGTACACCCTAATCTAAGTTTTCAAGTGTTAGTTAACAACTTGAGTAGTGATGTACAGTCAGCATCAAAAGTCGATGAACGCATTTAGATTTTCAATATCGCGAAAGACCAGTGTTTGGTTCTTAAAACTAACAACTGATGCGGAGGAATGTTTTGCGTTCTGTACAGGCATTAAGGGTGTCCTCTCCCTACCCCAAATATGGAGTTATGACGTCAAATGTGTTGCAGGTTGAATGGGATGCTAATGACTCAGAACCCTCCTTTATGGCAATGTATGGGGGATGATTAGTGTTTTCATATATCAATAAAGTGCGAAATTAGCTAAAAAGCCATTTGTTGAAAAGATAAGTGTTGTCCACAGGAATGAATAACCACGTTGCCATGGTACCCATATGCGTTGACATTGTTGAGGATTTAAATGCGCCACGTCTCTTGTATTAGTGTTTGATTTTATAGAGGAATTTCTATAATACGTTTTTTTTTTTACAGCAATCCGTCGAGGCACAGAAAACCAGCCAGCGAAAAAGGCGCGCGGCGATGGCGGCGGGACTGATGGCACTGGCGGCGGGCGGGACCATCTCGCTTATGCTTGTCTTCTCCGCAACGAGCTCCTCGGAGCACAGATCGAGGAGTTACGGGGTCCACCAGCCAACTGCTCCGATGGCAACAGAGCGGCGATAGGCACAGCGCAGCATGCATCGACCGTGAAAGCGGCACAGGCGTATTCACCACCCGTCTTCAAGTTTCGGGCGCCCACCTGTAACGCAGAGGTAAGCCTTTCACAACCGACTTAAAAAAAGGAGGTATTCAATTCAGTTGTATTTTTTTTATGTTTGTTACCTCATAACTTCGTCACTTCTAGACCGATTTGGAAAATTCTTTTTATTTGAAAGGATATATTTTCAGATTTGTCCTGTAGAAAATTTATCAAAATCGGTCCAGTAGTTTAGTTTTTAGTTTAAAATAACTGGTTTTGTCACAATTGAAGGCGGGTTTTTATGAGACAATCTTTTGTTATTACTGTTTTTTTTTTGCCTGGTCATGAGGTTGACAGAGAGATTTGTTCAGATACTTGCCCTACGCTCGATAAAATTGTACATCTACAACTTAAAACTTACTTAATACAAATTTTCATAATTTTATTGTGAATAATCTTAAGCTTTTAGAGCTACTAGTTTAGTTGTATGTATCTGTTAGTAGGTCAGTATTAGTATTTCCTCTTACACAATAAAAAATAAATGCAAAACATATTTTATTATGTTTTGCAATGTCTTATTTTTCTTATTTATTTATTTAGGGCAAATAGCTATTACAATACATGTGATAATTACACACTTAAGTAATAATTTAACAGGCACTAAAGTTTGCACAAATGTATAATACAAGTGAAGGAAATACAATAATAAACAATACTATTTACTATTGAAAACTACAGTTACATTGTCAATAACAAAGCTCAGAAGTTAACAAAGCTTTCCCACATCATATTGTCTGAAAATGATATAAATATTTAAAAAAAAATTAAATTAAAAAAGAAACCAAATTTTAAGAAAATTAAACCTTCTGACTCTTTATTAAAGAAAAAATAAAAAAGTATTATACAGTGTCACTTTATGCTGTTTTATCTCCTTTTTAAACTTTAGTTTTGACTCTAAAAAGAGATCAATATCAGAGAAAGTATTGGCAATTTGACAAATAAAGATTTTTACCATAATTAGTTGTATGGCGTGGTACATGAAATAATTGTGTAGTCTAGCACAATGCATGGATGGAACCAGAAACAAAAGTTCAACTAATTCTACGCAGTCTAATCGAGCATCAGTCACATCCTTAATATGTATAGATAAATTTAGCATTAGTTATTACCAGTAAAATGTTTATGTTCTACCTTCAAGCAGGATGTGTTAAATGTTAATAGGTACACAAAGATATTTTCAAAACGCCCATCAGCGTGCAGACGTATCAGTCGTAATGGCTAATTCAATCGATGGCTATAATAAAAATCGTTCCCTTACTCGAATTATCAGAGTCATTACTCCAATAAACTCGCTCCGGACACAATTCCACCAATGGTAAACGGAGTTTGCATTCAATTCTCACCAATTAATGGCAAAACTTACAGTTCTAATTAGCATCTTAAGCGAGACTGTAAAGTGTACCCTCGATACGCGATATCTCTGGATTTTTGGCTGTGACTAATTGCAGCAAAATCTTTATTGATCAGCAGTAAAATAAAATTGATGAGGTTTAAAGGAATAATTGGTAATTCAAATGTATATGTATGTGTATATTTACTACTTTTAGATTTATATCCATATGCAGATTATGAAGTGACTCGTCTATATAAATCACTTATCGTATCAATGTCAGATATTCTTATTAGTTTTCATGTTCATATTTATGGACACGTGGTGATATATTAACATTTTTGCAGCCTTTAAGTCGATGATTGATATGAACTTTTAAGTTATTTATTGTTAAATGTTATTTTAGAACGGTGATAACTCAGTCAATAACCGCTGAAAATGACAGAGAAATGCATAAAGTGAGACAACTTTTGTATTTAAAATACATAATGATAAAATGAATAATTGGAATGTTAAATGACGTATCTTTGTATTATTAGCATAATCATTTATTTGTTTAAAATTATAAATGTATAATAATTATTTAAGTCACGACGAGGCTGGGTAATGTAGCTAATTGTTGCACGTTAAAAGTGCCTTTCTTTTTTGAATTAAAAAATGTTGTAAAATCATTTTGATATCGGTTCATTAACTTACAATATGACATTAAAACACATTATCGGAATTAAACGTGAAAAAATATAATAATAAAAAAAAAATTTGTAAAAATATTCTACTTAAAATTAGAGTTTAAAAACCCCATACGACCCGGAAAAAAATTTTTTGCCGACCGTAATTATCGTTTGACCCTAGTCTTTAAACAAATTGAATTCACCAATTTGGTGACGTTATTTCGCGTAAAGTAACAAGCTAATGTGCGCCCACCATTGCTTTGACAGTCATTTTTACAGGATTTGGTTTTAAAAATAAAACACTTTATTGACGGTCGATTTTTATTGTAGGGTCAAAAGGCGAGGCGAAAATTTACCGGTCATATTCTTGTTCTGTCACAGGACATTACATACTGTATGTTATCGAATTAAGTATACGAAATAATCTGTTTATTTTTTTGTTTTATACTCTGCATACTTGACATGTTTTGGCATGGCTTTTTTATTGAAATTTTCCATTTAAAAATAATAATAAACATATACTGCACAGTGACATCTAGTTTCAGTTTTTTGAACTAAGCAGAGTTTATATGGGTACTAAATAACTCATGGAATAATATATTTTTTTTTCTTAATACATAAATAATATGTCTAATATTGTAATAAAAGTAATTGATTATTAATTAACATAGAAATAATATTAATTTTTAAATTACTGTATGCACGGGTGTCTCGGTAAAAAGATGTACCTACAAAATTATATTGTCAATACTACGCGCACTGTTTAGAATCTTCTAGAAATATTAATTTATTTAATCAGCTTTATTCGTCATCATCATATTAGCCGTTAATTGTCCATTGCAAAACATAGGCCTCCCCTATAATGCCAGTAGTTGCCACACTTGATAGGCGGGTTGACAACCGTAACTAGGCTTTGGTGATATTTAAACAGGGACACTGTCTATACTTAGACAATTAAGTTCCCTTAATCGCTTCTTATGACACCTACAAGAAAGAAAATTGTTGGCTCATTCCATGCTGGGACCAAACTGCGATGTTGTTAAACAATATTGATTTAAATTCCTATAGAAAATTTGAAGTGTACAGTTATATGTGTTTTATATATAATTTGTACGTCAATAGTACGTGGTCATAATGTATTGCGTTTAGAGTTGTTAGTGATCATATTTAGCCATGGTGTTAAGTATGCGAAATATAATATTCATATTTTATTATATATATGTGCACTAAGCACGCAAATTCTCGAATTTACATTACAGCACATGCGGCGGCTTCTTTGTTTGCGCCTGCGCAGGTTTTTATGTTGAAATCGCTGATTCGAATCGGTGTACGATTGTAACAAGAATCGAATGGATATCAAATATCCTGCCGTCATGTTACTCGGATAATGTGACAAAATAATCGCACTTTACCTTATTGGAAGGTAACATTTCTATATATTTATTACGTACGATGATATGTATGTACAATTGTATTCATATTATTTATTTTATATAAATATTTTGTTTATGTGAACACGTTGTCTTACTTTCACCTTACAATAATAGACAAATGCCTCTAATTAACCTATCAGGGATTAAAGTAGTGAGCACATTTTTAGTTTTTTTTTAATCGATGATAATGGGATGGTGTCGGTATACGCTGGCGGGTCACCAATGAGGGATGATAGGTGAAAGCAGGTTAATCAGCCCGTCGTGGTATAGATCTGAAATTCAGCACGTTGGTTACAGGGGAGACCACGTGGAGGTCGACTTAGTTAAGTATGTTGTTAGCAATAAAGCTCTTAGTCTCCATTTCTAACAATCTCTTCCCCCCCCCCCCCCCCTTCCTTTTGAGACAGTTTTGATATATAAAGATTTTTGTGCAATTATTGCAAGGTTACTAGGCTATTTTCAGTGCGTTGTAGAATGGTGACAGTTGACAGCAGTCGTTACTGTATTGCGTGAAATTTATGGGGTTTTTTTTTAATGGGTGATAATTGTATGGTAATCCCGCCTGCGCTATCGGGATACGCTGGCGGAGCACCAGTAAAGAATGATAGGTGAGAATGAAGCAGGTCAGTTGGCCCATCGTGACGAATTCAACAAGAATTGTTCACGATGGTTTCCAGGGGGAACCACGTGGAGGTCGACTTAATAGGGTTATATTGTTAGCAATAGGGCTGTCGAACTCCATTGCTAAAAATCCCTTTCCCCCAAATTTATGGGGTTAAAACCAATTTAATCATCGTTTTAGTTTATTTTACTATATGGTTTTAGTGATCTATCGCTCACGTAATACTAGATATACAGAGTTGACAAAATAAAAAGCCACTATAAAAAATTATAACTATATCAACACCACTGTTTACCACTATTTTCCGAGCTATATACCTAAACAACGTACTGTATACATATACACATTTTATGTGGACGACTGCGCCGAAGCTTGTATGCCAATTATCACGAGCTGCCTGTTTAGCGTACCGGTGACAATGACTGTATGCTAATCAAAGAAACCCAATACTTTTTGCACAATACCCCTCGTATCCGAATGCAAATCGCGTTTAGTTAGATATTATTTAAATATTTATCTTTCTGCAACTTTTTTTTTCTCGTAGTCCATTAACATCGCTATACATTGTTTTTTTCCCGTCGTAATTCTGTCCAGTCATTTGTCTGTCTCACTGACATCATAAGCGACAACGACCTAAAATAATAAATTATTAAAATTTTGTACAATGCACGTCTAAACCATTAAAGCAGGCAACTTAGGTATTACACTTAGGTATGTTTTTACCTCCCGAGATGTATTGTTGCTTGCATTTCAAATTTGTTGTTTGTCATCTTGCATAATTATTAGCAATTGTTAAGAGTACGTTTGAAATTTAAATATGGAATAATTCGAACAGATTATCTGATCCGATAATTCGATCGGATTGATTTGGCACTTCAATACCTACATGTTATATAAACTATGTATAGTAAAAAATAATTAATTTATGTATTTATATTATAAGTGGTCAGATAAAAA